TTTAAAAGTATTATCATTTAATATTATACTAATATATTTCATAATATGAAATAATATTTTCTACTTTTTACTTTTTTAATATTCATAGAATATCATTATAATATTAAGTAATAAAACTTTTAATATTCATATAATGTTACAATGATAATAAATAATATTATTTTTTTTAATATTCATATAATATTATCAAGGGTGACATATAACCATCCATTAAGGTTCTAGAAATATTTTTTAATATTAAGTAATATTACTAGAATATTACGTCTGATATTCTAAGAATATGCCCAGAATATTACTTATTAAATAATAATAATTATATCACAAGTGTTATTTATATCATTTTATTTGAAAGTATAACACAAAAATTTTTGGCTTGCGTTTTCTCGCTTCTGATGTCATCAGGAAAGAACAAATGCAACGAAGAAATTTTAAATATCGCGCATTTTTTTAAGTTACCTTTTTGCACGTATTATAAATCAATAAAGTATATCGTCGGCATTGTAAAAACATACATTGTAAATACATCGTTGCGTATATATATTAGCTATTCGTGACAAACAATGTTTTTATTGCGTTTGTAATTGGCATTTTTCTTCGTCGATTGCGTGTCATGCTTTTTAAATGAGCGCACATCGATAATACAGTTGTTGTTTTTGACCTATGAACCGTAGATAACTACAGGCGAATGTAATGAAAAAAATTACATCAACACATATCTTAATGGAACAAGTTTCTGACTTACACTTCAGTCTGCAACGTACATTCTTCACGAATAGAAGCTATGGCCTACAATGTCATCGGTTCAATATATCGTGAGTGTAAAGTGTAAAAAGCGATTAGAGAAAGCGCTTTCCTTTCCTATCATGTATAAAAAGCGATTAGCGCTTTCCTTTCCTATCATTTTAATTTAGTTTAAATTTCCACTAAAATGAAGTATATATAAAATAAAAAACCTTCAGCAACGGTTGCTCCATTATCCCCTATTCACGTATTAATGCAACATATTAGCGCGTTGCAGTAGAATTGTGAGACAAATAACACAATTGTGACGCGGTGCAGGAGACGAGTAAAGTCAGTGAACGAAGATAACAGTTTTTTTTTTTACATCGAGCGACGAATCGAGAGCAATTTTCTGACGTCCCTGGCAGACCAGGATTTTCCATAAAACGGAGATCTTTTCTTGCAGGCGATATTAAGAACACCTTCCTTATAATGGAAGATAGCACGGTGCCCGGTTTAGCTCATCTCGAGGGGGTGAGGGAAGACTATAAAAAAACACCAACAGGTTTTCTCGAGGCTAGGAGGAAAGTGGACGGTGCAGAAGGATTATGGAGAATCAGAAACAGTCTCTACGATCTGCAGACGTTCATGAAATTTCATCCCGGAGGTGCGGAATGGATTAATTTGACGAAAGGGACCGACGTCACCGAATTATTTGAAGTATTAAAGACAGAGTAGTCAAGCCAGACCTCAGCTGACTCGCTTCAACCTGATGATTCACTTTTCACGGTTTAACAAATACAAATTTATCCTTGTCAATCGCGTAGACACACCACATCACGGATAAGGCTGAGCGGCTGTTGCCGAAATTTTATGTGCGCGAGGCGACGACTACGCGATCGGTGCCTTTGACTTTTCACCCGGACGGATTCTATCGTACATTCAAGAGGCGTGCAACAGAGGCATTGAAGAACGTCGATTTCCACCGATCATCAACCATTTCGAATCTAATTACAGATACCTTGGCGGCCATAACTTTCGCACTGGCTTTGTCAGCCGCTTTTGTTAATTCTTACATTCTTATTCTTCTCGCCGGTGAGCATTATCGGAATCATGCAGATAATCGAGGCGCGATATTTGTCGATAAAGAATTATTATCTTGACGATAAGAACTATTAACTAATATTAGCGCGATATTTGTCGATAAAGAACTATTTTGAGAGCAGAAAAGATCTTGACTATCTCTATCTTGAGATTACGAAGATAACGATGATATAAATGCGATATAGTAATAATAATAGTAATAATAAGTAATAATAATATGTTATAGTAATAATAAGTAGTAATAATAAGTAATAATAATATGAAAAGCGTTAGAAAATGTTATAAAGTCCGTAATGTTGCAACGCGCAAATATTAGGTATTTTCCTGGCATGGACGGTGGCGGCGGCACATAATTTCTTTCACATGAGGGACAACTTCCGCATGTATTATTTCGACCTCTGCATGATGTCCTCGAAGGAATGGCGTATCACACACGTAATGAGTCACCATATGTACCCGAATACCTTATGGGACTTCGAAATGTACGTGGTCGTGCCGATACTGCATTGGTTCCCTCACGAAGATAAATCTTTCATTGTGGGAATCATAAGAACTATTATGTCTCCCATCGTCTGGATATTGTTGTTTCTCTCTCAAGCCATAAAGCGGTAATGCTTCATCCTGTGTGCGTTCTTTGAGATTGCGCATAATTATTGGGAATAAGTCTAAATGTCAGGTTCGATTTTTCAGCCAAACTTAACTCGATTGCATCATCTAAATGGTTATTCTCGTTCTTTTCATTAGCATTCCGACAATATTCGAATAAAGTGACGTTATGCAACGGTAGACTTTCTACTTTATCGTATCTCACTGTTTATCGCTACCTTAAAACGAACCGACTTTTTCGCTGATCTAATATATCTAATATACACGCATTGTATTTTATATATTTTCATCTAGAATTTCCTTAGATTCAATTTTAGTGTCAGCTGAATTTTAATTTCCAGATACTATTCGGTATTCCTGGAGTACGGAGTCTTCGAATTTCGTGATGTTATACCGTTCCTGCTACCCTTCACGTTGAGCCTGTTTGCACCTGATATTCTCGTCGCGTTGAAATTGTGGCTGACGATGATACTGACCAGCAGTTTTCTATTCGGCTTCGTCGGTTTAAACGCGGCTCACCATCATCCGGATATCTTCCATGATGGCGATATCTACAGGTGCGTCCGTCACGTATCGATTGCTTCTCATTCCTGCATACCTGAATTTTCGATCTTATAAGTTCGATTATAATTTTCGCCAATTCGAATAATAATTTTTTGCAAAACGCAAAGTATTTACGCTGTTTTCACTTTCGCGGACCGTCAGATTATTCCGGGCGACTCGTTCTTTCTCCATTGCGAAACTAATAATGACGATTTAACGATTCCCCAACGAAGGGATGACATGGACTGGGGCCTGCTTGAACTGGATGCCGTGCGCGGTCGCAAGGTGATCGACGACTCGACCTTCTTGGCGCTCACGAACTTCGGCTCTCATACGTTACACCATTTGCTGCCCACCGTAGACCACCACTACCTTTCACTGTGCATGCCCGCATTCGTGCAGACGTGCAAGGAATTCAAGCTGAGCGACGAAAGCCTCACGCAATGGGAGCTCATCAAAGGGCAATTTCAGCAGCTCAAGCGAGTCACGTCCAAGAAGAACTATAGATAACGTGTTACATCGAAGACGTCAATGGTTCGGTTAATAAATTTTAAGGGAAGTTCTTTCACAATAAAACTAACCGAGCGATATTCTATCTTTCACACGATGGGCGATGAATCCCACACCCCATTTTAAAGTCTTCGAATCGCGCGAATCATCATGCGACGAAGGATCGATTGGGCGGGGTGAGATTTAGTTCTTAATTTTATTTTATTGCTTATTTACTTTAATAAATACATACTTCGGCTCTCTTTATAAATTACAATTAAGTTTATAGGATAGGATATCATCTGGATGACACGTGTGTAATATGAGATACGACGCGCTAATTGCCTGAATATTCGTCGTCCTTGATTCGCTTCGTTCGCGTGATATTACGTTTTTCTTCTCGCGGATGTATTAGTGTTTCTTGCGTAACTCTTATTTTTTTTTATCTCTGTTCATTTATCGATTATTATGTTGCCACTGCGACTATTTGCAACTGTGTCGTAAACGTTCAATTATGTATGTATATATGTGTATATGTACGCATTTGTTTTTTCTAATCTTACTTTATCTTCTGCGTCGTTATCAAGTGTTGTGTAACATGTATGCGAATATTAAATATCTCTCGCTAGCTCTCGCCTTTTATCGTCCGTTCGTGTTTCCCTCTCGCTCGATCTCTCTTATACTTCTACTCTCACTCTCCCACTCTCTCTATCCCTCGACCGTCAGCTCGAGTGGTGAAGAAAAACCTCGCGAACCCTCGCGCACCCTTCAACTTCATCCCATCCTATTCCTTTATCATCTAATACGAGCGAATATTAAATTTTCTCTCTTTATATCTCTTCTCTACGAAGCTGCATATCGCGTCTCGCGAGGATTTTCCGATTGTTCCTGGCCGATTAAATATTGATAAGAAGCAAGAAAGAGAAAAACAAAAAATTATCATCGGCTCGCGTGTCGAACGTCAGTGCGTGATAACAAAATTTCGTGATCCGAGTGAGACGTTGTTGATCGGTCGGTCGGTCGATTGCGATCGAAATGACGTTGCCCGCTGAGAGCTCCGAGCGAGCGAGCCCTCGGGCTCGTTGCATAATTCGTGTCTTCGTTCGACGATGGACTCCCGAGAACGATGATCTTCTCCCTCCTCCGTTATCCTTCTTCTTATTCTCCGGATGTTAGAGTTTCGTTGTTAATATCTTCGTTTTCTTAATGTTTTTTTTTTTCGTTTTCTCTCCGTTCGGTTTATTTATTTAGTTATTTATACGCGAATCTCTCTGGAAGGGGCTTTACAGTTCACCATCGGGCTGCAGGTCAAAGCGTGGCGGGAATGCGGAACCATCTAACTGGGGTTTGAACGCAGGTCGGTGTGGCTGAAAAGAGATATAAACAGTGAATTCAGTTGAATCGCACGGAACGTGTTATCACGACGGAGTGATAACGAGGGGTCAACGGCAGAGTATCCGGAAGACGAGGTCGGAGCTCGGCTCTTGCGAAGTTGGAAGATCGGCGGTATTACGAAATTACTATAGCCAGCAATTGCGCATAAGACTGTATTCAGTTGATCGAGCAACTTATGCCGATGAATATAAGACACAATAATAAACAAGATGATAAATAGAAATATCACGTAAGTAATCAATCGAGCTCTTTCACTATCATCGTCTCCGGATTCCCGTCGCCGCGCCCGGTCGAGTCGTACGACGGGAACGTCGTATCATTTCCACGAAATTGGAGAACAGCGATACAGATTAGGTGGAGAAGGGGTGAAAGGGAAATGACACGCTCTGTGTGTCGTTCCTGCTTGTGATCAGACTGATACATTTAACTCCTGCACTAGATTACACGGCGGATAGGATCGACACGAGGGTCGTGAGACCTCTATGTCTGCATGATAGATACGCCGATGACGCGTGCATATGTTTTTCTTTTTTTTTCGAAAGATGCGGGGACTTACTTCGGATATGTAACACGTGACATTATTTACAACAATTGCCTCTCTGATCGGTAACCACAAGGTAGGTGGACCGAGTCTCTCGACCAAATTTAAGGGGGAAGTCTACTGTAAAATTTTCAAAAAATCAATTTTTTGTTTATTGGCTTAAAAAATACTTTGAACCCTCTAAAATAAGGTACATTAAGTGTTATAGCCGGCTAAATTTTTCTTCATTGAAATTTCGACTTCTTACCGAAGCGCTCCGAAACGCGTACCTGCGGCAAATTCCTATCTGTTCGGCGGGTACAGCGTAGTGACTTGCAATTCAATTTCTAACATTTTTAATACTCCAAGTCGATCAACAGATGTCACTAGGTATATTTTATAGTCAGTTAGAAGCGATTTCAACAGATGATCTGATCATTAGCTCCGAAACAAACATTCAGCGGTGCAAAAACCGTCGATATTGCGTCGTATTGTGCTGCGAGTATTTTCAATGAAGGCTACTCCAGTATCCTCAAAATGATGGACGTTGTGAACATCAAAATTGGACCAAACGCCTTCAATTTATGCAACACCGTGGACGAGCGCAGAATATCACGAGCAAACGAACGGTCGTTCGACGCTTCAAAAGAAGGGAGAATCGAAAGAAGAACGGCGCGATCGGCACTCGAAGAGGATTTCCTTGAAGAAGAAGGTGTACTATATGAAGCAGGAATGGGCGATTAATGGTAAGAAGCTTAAAAATGATCATTGAAAAAACTAATGCCGAAACTTTAAACGCGTTTTTCTCGAAACTAAGTTTTTCAATACGGTGTACACGATATCTCGAGTTTTAATGAATGAATCGACTTGAAATTTTAACCACATATTCTCTGGAATAGTGTCTCTCGTCTGGCGGAGCATTTTTTTGATATCGTTTTTTGTGTAATTGTTATAAACAATAATAACATCAAATTTGAGCAAAAAAATAGAAAAAAATTTCAAGAATTTTTTTTTCGGCGCCAAAATTTTTTATCGACAAAATCCTCCGTCAGACGAGAGTCAATACTATGTAGATGATAACCATATTTTGTTTTTTGTTTCAGATCACCCAGACGTGAGATTTCATGTACACCGTTTGGGCACCTAAAAAAAACGGACCTGCACTTGAAGGAGTGCCACGACGGCAATTTTGAATATTTCGACTTGAAAATTTTTTTACAAATACTTGAATATATAATAAAGATGACGGTTTAATTTAATTTAATGTACGAGTCATATTTTGTTAGAAAAAAAATTCGGAAAATCGGCCTGTTTTTTCCCTTGTCACAGTAGACTTCCCCCTTAATAACAGTTCTCGTTCGTGAGGAACCGTGCGGCTCACGTGTTGTTAAACACATAAATCGAGAACGAAAACACGCCGGCAGCTTCGCCAGGAAAACGACGAGGTATGGAGTATCTCTTCCGAATTAAAAGAAAATCAAATAAACGAAGACTCGAGCTACCGGTCGGGAATCTGCGACATCGTCTGGCGCGATAAAACGAGACGAAACGTGTTCTCTCGTGGTAAAAGCAAATTAAACACATCAGTGAAGGGACGCGGGGAAAGTGAAAGACGGAAAATCAACGGGCAATCGGCCGGTCCCCGGCCGATTAAAACGGGAAAGAAGTTTCTCGCGAACAATCCCGAGGAGAGCCGTCCGCGTGGGAAAGAAATTTCCCCGTGCTGGATATCTCTAATCCCTAGAGCAGTGTCTAATCGCAGTGTCTACGCTGAAGAAGGGATTCGCTAACAAATATTTGAGCACCAAATTCTAATTTGCCAAGCGAATATTTAATTACTGTAATCAAATAATTTAGTCCCGTATACTGTGTATACAGTACTGTAGTTCCATATATTATATATTTAGTGTGCGGAACTAAATTATTCGGCTGCGGTAACCAAATATTTGGTCGGCGAATATTCACGAAATTTTAATACTTATTAGGAAATTCTTTCTTCAGTGTACGAGTGACTGCGAAGAAAAGAGATAGAAAAACAAGGTAAAAGGTTCGTTACATAGAGTTAATTAGTGACGAAGAACAAGCTCGGGGCCCACCGAGTGAGAGGGTGTTATCGGACGCATTGGTTGGTCGATCGGCAAGCCGAGATGAGCGACGAACGCGAGAGGGTGGTCGCGACCGCGCGTTCCTCTCGTGTTTCGTGATACCTCCGGCCTGCGATCTCGCATCCCTCTCTCTCTCTCTCTCTCTCTCTATCTCTCTAGAACTATTTCTCTCGCTAGATATAACGTCACACACACCCCACGCGCTGACGACACGTGCACGGACTTACATGGACCAAGCGCGGTTGTGTGTGTGTGTGTGTGCGTCTACTCCATCACGGAAGGCGCGGCCTTGCGTTTCTGTTGCGGCTGCACAGGGACACACAGATATGTTGCTAATTAGACACCCTCTCCAACACCGATCGCCGACAATCCATTAATCCTGAACTCGCACACTTTCCTCCTGATTCTTTTCCCGATAATTCTAACACTACTGTGTTAATGCGCAAATGCTCGCAAATAATCGCTATAACAAGACTAGCGATAAAGAGAAAAAAAGAAACATCCGTGAGAAAGAAAATATATATAAGCTGTGTGTCGCGTCTCGACATCACGCACGAAGAGTCGAGCACACTCAAAGATGACGAAAACGAACGGAAAACTGATACGAGTTAATATGCATCGCTCTTACCGCTGGGCTGAGTCCACGCGCGGCACTTCCGCCGCGTCCTTTGGTGCGGAACTTGGTGATGGCCTGTTCGGCGAGGTCCGCCCTCTCCTCAGCCTCCTCGAGCTCCTGCTGCGCCTTGCGGAACTTGGCGAGATTCAACGCGGCGATCTCCTCCGCTTCCTCGATCTGCCTCTTGTACGTCTTGATCTTCTGCTGGAGCTTATCAACCAAGTCCTGCATGCGCTCGTGATTCTTACGGTCCTCGTCCGCCTGGAAGTAATCACGGATTAGATCAACTTTTCGAAAGTTGCCAACGGAAAAGTAGCGGGAGTGATTTCACCTGGAAGCTCAGCTCCTTGATACGGCGCTCGGACTTGCGGAGGTTCTTCTGGGCGTCGGCGTGTCTCCTTTGCTCGCCGTCGAGCTCGTTCTCCAGCTCGCGCACACGCTGCTCCAACTTCTGAATTGCTTTCTTGCCACCCTTGAGGGCGTTCGCTTCGGCCTCGTCGAGGCGCACCTGCAACTCCTTGATCTGGGTCTCCAAGGCCTTGCGGAGCTTCTCCTGGGTCTGGGCGTGGTCCTGCTCGGCACGCAGCTCGTCGGCCAATCTGGCGGCGTCCACCATCGCCTTCTTGGCCTTCTCCTCGGAGTTCTTCGCCTCGTTCAGCAGCTCGTCCAAGTCGGACTGATCGGATCAAACAACATCAGTTGTTAAAATATCCAGAAATAGGATTTTTCAACGTTAAGATACATTTTTCCAATTTAAAGTAACGCTCGAAGTTAGGTAAAATGTTCTCGTGTGTTCGCGACTATGACAGAAGAATCGATCGATACTCACATGGAGAGTCTGCAATTCGGCCTCAAGTTTCCTCTTGGCGCCGGAAATAGACGCGTTCTGAGCGCTCAATTCGTTGAGCTGCTCGTGGCAATCGGCAAGCTCCTGTTCCGCCTGGCGGCGACCGCGATCGGCCTGCTCCAGAAGAGTGCGACTCTCCTCGAGCTCGTTCTGCAGAGCGTTAGCGCGGCGCTCCGAGATACCGAGCAGCTCTCGGGCCTCGTCGCGCGCTCTCTGTTCCTCCTCGAGGGCAGTCTGCACGTCCTTCAGCTGTTGCTGGTATCGCTTGATATTCTTCTGGGCTTCAGCGTTCGCCTTATTGGCGTGATCCAACGCGATTTCCAGCTCATTGATATCGGCCTCCAACTTCTTCTTCATGCGCAGCGCTTCAGCTTTGCCCTGAAACATCCAGACCAGTCAAATGTTAATTAACGTTATCGATTAGAGGCTTGCGTGTTTGCAAGATACTTTAAAATCATTTTAAACAAATTAATTAAAAATACAAAAAAATTTCAAATTAAAGCTTAGCAATATACATATAATTTTACGACTTACCTTGGCTTCCGCTTCAAGGGAGGCTTGCATAGAGTCGAGGGCACGCTGGTGGTTCTTCCTGGTGTTCTCGAACTCTTCCTCCTTCTCTTGGATGCGACGATCGATCTCCTGTCGGACTTGGCTGAGTTCAAGCTGGCTGCGCAGCACCTTGTTCTCCTCCTGCTCGAGAGCGGCCTCGGCTTCCTCCAAAGCGGCTTGGAGTTCGTCCTTCTCAGCCTCCAGGCGCTTCCTGGCCTTCTCGATCTCGTGAATGTTGCGACCACCTTCGCCGATCTGGTCCAGGAGGTCCTTCACCTCGTCGGCGAGGTTCTTGTTCTCGCGACGCACAGCTTCCAGCTGTTCCTGGCCTTCTTCGTATGCTCCTGATTCACAAAGTATGAATTAACAATACAAAGCAAACCAATTGAGTAATGTATCTCCTTGAAACCTTATCATCGTACGACCGGATTTCTATTAGCTCGCGAAGCGGGACGGTTAATGCTCTCTCACCTCTGAGCCTGAAGAGCTCGGTGCTGTAGTTGCGGCACTCCTTCTGACTGGCGTCGAGCTCGGCAGCGAGATCGTCCACCTTGAGCTTCCATTCGCTGATGATCTTGTCGAAGGCCTTCTGCTTCTTCTCGGCGGCGTTGGCGATCGCGGTAGCGCGGTCGACTTCGATCTGGAGATCCTCCACCTCGGTGGACAGCCTCTGCTTGGTCTTCTCCAAGGCGATAACCTTCTGGTTGAGGGACTCGATCGTTTCCTCAGCCTCGGCAAGCCTAGCCTGCAGCTTCCTCTTGGCTTCCTCGAGCTCCTCAGCCCGGGCGACGCCCTCGGATTCGTACTTGGTGCGCCACAGCTGCGCCTCGGCGTTCGCTTTGCTGAGCTGTCGCTGAAGATCGGCCTTGCCCTCGGCCTCCTCTTCCACCTGCTCGCGGATGTTGTCCAGGTCGTGCTCCAAATTGCGGAACTTGCCGAGCAAGGTGGCGCGCTCGCGCGACTCCTCGTCCGCCAGCCTCTTCGTGTCCTCGAGCTGCGTGGTCAGCGAGATCTTGATCTTGGACAGTTGGCTCACTTGCGACTCGGCCTCTTCCAGCTGGCGCAACAGGTCGCTGTTTTCAATCGACAGCTTCTTCTTCGCAGCGTCGAAGTCGTTGAGGGTGCGGTTCACCTCCTCGAGTTTGCCCTGAGTCTCGTTCAGCTGGTGCTGCAGCTGCTTCACGATCTTCTCCTGGGCGGCCTGGGGTTCGCGGGACAGAAGGAATACACTTTAGCATGCAATCATTCTCTCCGGGAGTTCTCAATCGATCGAGCTCGCTTTTGGATAATTCGGTCACTTTAAAAGCTCGGAAAATAACCGGAAGTTTTTCACATTTTTCGCGTTTTTTTTCAACTTCTTTCCGTGGATAAATGAAAACAAAATTGGAAAAACCCGGATTTTTCCATTTTTCTACAAATTTTTTCTGTTTCTTTCCGAGGAAAATTTGAAAGGGCGGTTTTTCAAGCTATAGATAATTCCTCGATGACAATTAGGAACCAAAAGAGTTCCGCGGAAACTTTTTTTCTTCGTCTCTTCATAATCAAATATCACTTTGCTTCTGGAAAACTTTTCGTGCTAACTTTGCGATATCGATAAGAGAACTGCCCCCCCAGATGACGATCGTCAAAAAGCGAGCTCGAGTCGTTCACGCACACACAAGACGAAAGCAACGCTGAGCAAGCAAGGGGGGGGGGGGGCGACTCACTCGAATGATCATGGGGGATGGGGAAGGGGGGNGATGGGGAAGGGGGGATCCGTTTCGGACTGTTGCGACTGCGGCGATGCTGCACCTAGCGAAAGCTGTTAATTGCGTTAGTCGGAGTATCGTTATACGCGGAGGCCCGGGGCCTTTACCTTCTCGTTGCTCAAATGGTCGCAGGACGTGCGCAGGTCGTTCAACTCGCTGTAGTACTGAACCTTCTCCTTCTCGACCCTGATCGGTACAGGAAAAACAGTCGACGGGGTGAGTTCGCGAATGACGGGATCGTTTGATTCGCGTCCCGGGAAGCCGGATTAAATCGTCTCATTGCGGACGACTTTGCTCAACTTAACTATCATCAGTTGTTTAATTTAACTGCTCAACTTAATCATCATTTTTTCGAATATGTTTACTCAATTAAAAATAGAAGAAACCGAGA